TATATATATATATATATATATATATATATATATATATATATATATATATATTGTAATTTATTTAGGAATTTTTTTAAAGTATATGTTCCTTGGTGAATTCAAATGTTTTATATTATTTACATATTTCACATGTGCAAGACAACAAATAAGGTCTTTCTTCAAATGTGACATATGTGTATGTATTTTATGTGGAAGGCAAAATAATGCCTTTAAAAATAAATATTTTTATTTTTAAAATATATTTTAAAAATACACAAAAATGGCCATAAAATATATTGTTAGAAAATATGTTTACATACAATTATTTTGAAATATATTTTAGTAAAACTATAATTTTTTTTTTTTTTTACAATTTATAGTATATTTTGAAATATATATTTTTGTTATCTTTAAATTAAAAATACATCTCTGAAAAAAGTACATGCATTTCATATTCTGTTGCTGATTAATTTGCTTGCATGCTGCATTTTATGCAGAGTATTAACAGAGTATATCAAATTTAGTTTTTCCAAATGTTCTAACTGTGCAACTGTAGATTACATTACAGTGGATACCATTTTTTAAATTAATAAATAGATAGATTTATATATCATTCAAATAAGAGTTTGCATTACACACATTACACAAGAAATCTGAATATAATGAATGTTGGCATCTCTTTGCATTTCCTTCTGTTTGTTCAACCTACTGCTTAAGCACGGCTTTTTTTCTTCTTCCTCAAATTACAGTTTTACACCTGTTTTCATTTATTCCGTTATTCTTTATTATGTAAAATGATGCCTATTAATACATGCATGCACACCACTAATCCACTCGCTTTGCACCTTGTGAATCTGACCCAAATTCATTGCTTCCCTTGTGTGCCTGCTTTCCTTTTAAAAAATATTATTAATGTTGACGCCTCATATAAGAGACCTGACCTGCCTATGTTCTTGTGATGGAAATTAATATATTTTTTCTGAAGCAGAGCAAAACTTGTTGTGTCTATGTAAACGCAGTAGCAAAATGAGTTCTGGTTCAAATGAGAACATCTATATACTATATACTGATATATATACTATATAAGATGGTGTGTTACTTTTCTCATGCTCTCTTTACAGCTAAGTTCTTGCTTTTTTTCGGAGGAATTCTTGACTGAACAGGGATCGCAATGACAAAAGCGTCTGATATGTTTCAATAACCCGACTAGAGTTGCAGCACATGTCATTTGTTCCCTGGGCTCTCCTGAGGCTGGCCGGGGCCCCAGAGCTGTTACTCAGGGGACACCACCGGGAACAAATGGCTGGACAAACATTTTTTTGTTGGGTGAAGTGTTGAGATGACTGCATGCGGCTCAAGTTAGCACTGAGTGAGTCTGCCTGATTCATTCATTCATCTCTGCACTTCCTGCTGATCCCATGCACTCTTCTCCAAACCTCATTCATCAGCAGACACAAGGATTTGTCCCGAATTTCACGCATCTTATTTTCCTGCTTGAATCAAAGGGACAGTGGGATCAATATGTGACAGTATAACTGGAATGGCCAAACAGTGCTTATCAACCGTAATTGAACTAAGATAAAAACCATGTGAACCATGCATGTCACTTCATTACACTGTAAAACGTGGACAAGTGTAGATATTTAGATAGATAGAGCTTTTGTACATAATCGAAGACTTAAAATACTTTAGTATTTTAGTCATGTAAATAAACACTCTGAATTAAAACCAGTCCGTTTAGACGTCAATGCTCGAGCCTTTAGGTGACAACATACTACATACTACACAAACTGTAACTGCGTTAGTTGTATTGAAAATAAGTTAAAATAAAAAGTAACTTATTTCTCTTTTATTCAAATCAACATTTTTGCCAATTACTGTTAGTGTTACAACGGTAAAATAATTGTAAAGTGATTACACAATTGTAATGTGTTTGTAATTGTTGTTTATAGTGTAATAAATACACTATACAGATGGGCTATGGTTATTATAGTTAAATAAAACAAATGAAAACCATAAAAAAAAAATTTGTTACATGAAGTAAAATAAACATGAACTGAAATAAAATATCAAACAATTGTATATTTCAGCTAGTTCAACATTTCTAATTTTAATTTAGCTTAACTTGATGTTTTAAAATAACTAAATGAAATGACATAAACATAAAAAATTGAAAATATTAATATATAAAAAATATTAATATGAAAACTATTTATATATATAGTTGTAACTGATTACATATAGTCACATGTAATCTGGATTACGTAATCTGATTCCAAAAAGTAAGTACTTAATAAATTATCAAATGATCAAAAAATCAGATTACGGTTGATTTTTTATTAGATTCCATATTACATGATTAATAAACCCTGGCATACTGTAATGCACTCTCAGAAAAAAAGGTACAAAAGTTGTCACTGGGGCGGTACCTTTTCAAAAGGCACACCTTTGTACCTAAAGAGTCCATATTGGTACTATAAAGGTACATATTAGTACACTGAAAAAAAATCAGATTACGGTTGATTTTTTATTAGATTCCATATTACATGATTACAAACCCCAGTTTGGGAAACCCTGGCATACTGTAATGCACTCTCAGAAAAAAAGGTACAAAAGTTGTCACTGGGGCGGTACCTTTTCAAAAGGCACACCTTTGTACCTAAAGAGTCCATATTGGTACTATAAAGGTACATATTAGTACACTGAAAAAAATGTTTCATTCATCCAAGGGCAAGTTATTTATTTTTCATTGGCTCAAGTTAAAAAATATAGATGTGAATCATTACCCTAATTTTTTTTAATTGGATGAATGAAACATTTTTTTCAGTGTACCTAAAAGGTACAAAAGGTACCGCACCGGTGACAGCTGTTGTACCTTTTTTTCCTGAGAGTGTGTTAAATACACTTCATGATGTTGATAACGAAGAATGGAATAGATTTTCTTATACGGATTAGATCAAAAGTAATCTAAAAGTAGTCATAATACATTAACTAATATGTGGCCCTGGAGCACAAAACCAGTCATAAGGGTACATTTTTAGAAATTGAGATTTATACATCATCTGAATAAATAAGCTTTCCATTGATGTATGGTTTATTAGAATAGCACAATATTTGGCTGAGATACAACTATTTGAAAATCTGTATAAAAATCTAAATATTGAGAAAATCATCTTTAAAGTTGTCCAAATGAAGTTCTTAGCAATGCATATCACTGATCAAAAATTAAGCTTTGATATATTTACAGTAGGAAATTTACTAAATGTCTTCATGGAACATGATCTTAACTTAATATCCTAATGATTTTTGGCATAAAAGAGAAATGTATAATTGTGACCCATACAATGTATTGTTGGCTATTGCTACAAATATCCCCCAGCGACTTAACACTGCTTTTGTGCTCCAGGCTCACATATGTGTAATCCAATACAACTACAGTTATGTAATTTGTAAGTAGCCTAATCTAACCAGCTCTGTATATAAAGAAGTATCTCGGTATATGGCTCTGTACACAGAGCAGTGCTTTGGAGGAAGTCAGATTTTATATCACCGTCCCAAGGCAAACTTTTGGCAGTGTTTGAACAGTTGTTGGGAAGAGAGACTTCCGCGAGGTTTATGGCCCCTATAATGGGGTTGAGTTTGTAAGCCAGGTGTCGCTCCGCTCCAGGCCGGGGTTTCCAGCGCGCCTCTGCAGTGAGACAGACACGCAGCCGGTGTACTCGACGCGCAAGCCGTCTCTCTGCTCCGGGATCGCGGGGCGCTTTCCGCAGTACCAAACGAGTGGAATTTCCTTAAGTTTTCAGAAAAGGCGCTCTCATTGAGCTGAGTGTGCGGCGGGTCCCGTCTCGGTATAGCAAACGGGCGTTCAGAGGGAAACCGGTCGGGCCATCGCGACGACGAAAGGGCGCATGGCTTTGATTTAAACGCGCATTCATTGCGCTCTGCCCCAAACCGAGTGTCGCATGGAACGGGACAACTCCGGCTGCTGAAAACGGCGAAATGCTCCTTTTAAACGTGACCTGGGTGTTCGCTTGTCTCAGCTTTCCATATTCGTAGGCCTAATGTGGTTTGGTTTGTGGACTGCGCGGATCTGCGATCTACCTGAGCGCGCGATGAAAGTCTTTGTGCGCTGATTTAGAGGTGACTTAGAGACCCTCGCTTTTTATAGCGTCAATAGATCTGCTTGGACTTCTCCTCAATCCGTGAGTATCATTCACATTACCCATATCTCCATTTTACGCACTACGCGTCCGGATACCGTGCTTTTGCATTTCTCCACATCCACAGACTCAGGATAGAGAGCAGCAAAACTGCAGGGGTTTAAACAAAACACCAGGAGGATCAGTGGCTCACTTAGCTTACTACTTTTTAAAGATTTAATTAAAGGGTTGAAAGCATGTCGGGTCACCTACTTGTGCGTGCATTGTTCCAGTAACGTAAAAAAGAGGCACTTTATCTTAGTAAGACATGTTTTTTTCTTTAAAAAGAACAGGATGAGGGCCAGATGTGATTTTCGTAGGAGGCAATACATCACGCTTATCTGTCGTTGAATTATCTCTATAGGAGAAATATAGAGACCTGTGCAATAAAACGAAAATTGATGGTGCAGAGCACTATGAGAGACAGTATAGTTTCTTAAACTATAGGTGCAACAAACAAAAGCTCACTTTTCTTCTTCATTGTGCATATATATATATATATATGATTGCCATGCTACAATATTGCCAAAGCAACTAGCATAGTGTGTAAAAGTTTCAGTAAAATAAAGGAATAGAGTAGTTTAACACTGTGGCTTGTTATGACTAGTTTAGAATGGGATATTTTGGGACAAGCCCAGTTGATTTGGTATTGTTTGCCTTTTGAAGGTCCATGCGCAGCAGCTAAATTCAGATCTTTTTCCTGCACATGCATTATTAACCATGCTATGAGCTGCTCATGTCACAGTCGCTCATGAGAAACACACTCGTGGAGCTCGTGTTTGTCATTTGAATCTATGCAGAGCAACTGATGGTGCATCTTCTGCTGTGTGCCACACACAGGCAATAACACACACACACACACACACACACACATTTTGCCTCCTTATATTACTTAACTTTAAAAAATACTTATGGAAGCTTCACTCTGGATCAACATGGTTGTCAAATTTGAATTATCTTCTGCTGTGTGCCACACACAGGCAATAACACACACACACACACACATTTTGCCTCCTTATATTACTTAACTTTAAAAAATACTTATGGAAGCTTCACTCTGGATCAACATGGTTGTCAAATTTGAATTCGGATTAGGTGTTCACACAAAAAGTTCACACGTAAACTGGAGCACAGCAAAATGAACCTGAAGGCAAGCTTTCACTTACAATGAGGTGATGTAGGGATAATTAAAAAAAGGACTGAAATTGGAGAAAAACATTTTTTCTTTAATTCAACAAGTAGGTGGATACCCTGAATCTATAAAAATAAATAAAGGACTCATCCACGTGGAAACCCCCGCAGTTTTCATTTGAAATGTTCAGCCTCAGATCTGTATTATGAGTCATTGTTTAGTGCTCGTTCATTTGAATGCAGAGAGTGAACTCGCATGAACAAATGCACAGTTGTGGCGTGCTCCATTTGTTGTGCATGTCTTTAGAGGAAGTGCCATCTCAGCTCACATCAACTGCCTGTGATTTCCAGCGCTTCGTTTCCAAGCGTGCATTTACATGACAAAGTGGTTGAATCTCAATTGCTAAAAACTTGAGCCACCAGCACCCCCTCCCAAAGTATGGCTAAACTGAGGCTCACAGTTGTATTCTCACATCTTTGAAACACACTGTTTCGCCATTTATCATACACTCTTAAAAAGAACCTTTCTTTATTGTCATCCACAGCTCCATGAAGAACCTTTAACATCTGTGGAACTCTTCCATTCCATAAAAGACGCTTTATAGTGGGAAAAAAATCCCTTTTAGTTTTTTAAAATGTTCTAAAAACTGTGACATCACTGTGAAAACCCTCTTTTGGAAGCCTTTTTAAAACATTTAGTTTTTTATGTGTACAGTGATTCAGTTTTTCATTGAATAAATTAGTTAATTTCCAAACGTAATGTAATTTTTACATTTTTTTTTCTGGTTGCTTAACCATTCCTTTACCAGTGAGAAATTCCTAGTCAGAAAGTCTTAAATGCTGTGTACAAAATCCAGATCTCCATTGTCAGAGGATTTAGGGTTTTTGACTTTGGAATATCCTAAGAAAGGTTTTTTAAAGTTATTTCATTTGTGGATTCTTAAAGCTTCACCAATACTCTTTGGCCGTTCTATCGCGATTTGTAGTTGAAAAATAAAATTGCATGTTACTTGTAGATCTGTTTATGCTTATAGTCATGCACATTAAAAAAAAGTCAAGATGTTAATGTTTCTAATATCTTCATGCCGTAAGCAGATTAGAGCTAGTCGATAATATAGCACATTTTGATAAAAGCAATCAGGCAGTGTACCACAGTAAAACAATAGTACTTAGCTACTAGACATTACTGTCATGCAAAAAGAAAATAAATGATTAGTCTGTTGATTGGATGTTTAGATCTTGATCATGCTCTGTAACACACATGAAGATGAGTTGTGGCGCGCATTGAATGCAGTTTCACACTGAAGGTGTAAAACAGGCCGCTTACTGTCTTTTCTGAAAGAAAGCTGTTGTCGGAGTCAGTAGCAGCATTGTGGGTATTTCTCCCACGCTTTGCACTTTGTTCAAGTCCTGGCTTGTGGTCCTTTTCCTGATCCCGTCACATTGCACTGTCCTGTCAAAATAAAGCCAAAGAATGCCAAAATGCATATGCGTTGCTTTGAACAAGACCGTTCAGAAGAAATCGGCATTGAAAAGAGCATTCAGCTATATCGTATTACACCACTGGTTTCTTTTAACACTATTTACCGACTCCATCCGCCAAAAGACTTTGTCTGTCGAAAGCAATAATGGCTCAAGAACTTGGGGCGAAAGACAGAAAGAGGTTAGTACTCGGAGCTGGTGGAAAAAATGGTATGGAGCCGTCTGCAATGAGGAGCGATGCATCTGGAAAAGTTCAATGGTGTTTTTGCAGTGGAAAAATTCAGTTGATGCACTTCATGCATATGGAATGTTGATCATTTTTGAATGCTTCTCATATTACATCAGAATGAACTGCGGCCATAGATCATTAGTTACAATCATTAGGATTATGAACTGACAAACGTGTGAATGAGGATTTCTTGTCCTAACCTGCCTGTGAGCTGTACATGTGTTCACAACAACCTTTGATTGCATTGAAGTAATTAACGGTTTCCTGAATGCGCTTAGAATTTGTTTCACTCCTTAAATTCCTTAAAGTCTAGTCGATGAATGGAGATTGATCTCTAGTTTGCTGAAGTTCCCATGCACAGAAATGATCCGGATGCTCAAGTGCTTGGCGTATCTTATTCCTGCTGTCCTAGAAAGCCTTGTTTCTTTCTTGCGTTACTGCTTAAACTTGCATTCGTGATGCAAGCAAGCAAGCAAGGTGCTATAATTAAGCGTTGTTATACAAAAACATTCTAAAATGTGATTTTGTTTGGTTCACACTCAGAAGAAAAGGTACAAAAGCTGTCACTGGGGCGGTAACCTTTCAAAAGATCCTAATATGTACACTTTAGCTACGACCTTTTACATTTAAGTTATGCAACATTATGCAACATTTAGGGTTAAATGAGGAACAGATTTGTACCTTTTGAAAGTGACCGCTTTTGTACAGTGTAGTTGCTAATAATATTACATAGTTGCATTAAAAAATATTACACCATTAATACATTTTTAGTAATGCATTGTCTAAAATATTTTCTCTTACTACAATTACAATGCAGTGATCCAGGTTACTCGGCAACAAGTTAGAAAGTGTATTAGAGAGCACATTGGAACCATGCAAAAGAAAGCCAGAATTGTATGCATCAATCTTAAAGTATATTAAATGACCGACAGAGTAAAGCTTTCACGATTTTGATCACTTTTTTTTTATAGAATTGAATGTTCAACATTTTTTAATTTTGAAGTTTTTTTTTTTTTTTATAAAATGTTTGTTTTTATTATATCGAATTTATATATTTTATTTATATGAATCTGTATATGCTGTGCAATAGCCGGTGAAGCTGATATGACAATACATTTTAATACAAGCCGCAACCATTCTGTAAATGACAAAACAAACTGAAATGCGAACATAACCTAATGTAAGCTTGCAAGTTCAGATTGTTGTGTTTTTTATCCCTATTCTGGATTTATATTGCAATTGAATGCTTTTGGAAATACAAAATACAGCAATATTTTACCGTTAGGTTTAGTTCATTCTGTATTGGGATGTTGTGGCTTTTCAGTTACGTTAATACAAATGTCATATTTCCAAATGAAATGCTATGAGAACCAATCCATATTTATGTCAGGAAACAGCACACATTATGGAGAATATCAATAGCCAAAATGACCCTCATGAGGAGACTATTACAAAAGGAGGTCAAGAAGTGCCCTGCTGTAATTGTGTGGTTGAATTTGCATGGATAGAAGACACTGGCACACACAAGTAACTTTATGCAAAAATGAATATATATGCCTACCAATAGCATTTGCAATATATAATTTTATGCCCTTGTAAGATCATACAGTTGTGTTTTTGTTATTTAATATTTCAACTCCAATCCAAATGCATTGTGTATTTCCATCCAGATATAATCTAATTTGTGTTTGCTCCATCGAATTAAATGAGGAATTTTTGGCTATCATACTCGCATCTGATTGTTTTGATTACACACGGACCGCTTAGCTCAGCATAGTTCCTCTGCCAAATGTTGTCTCTTAACACTTCATATATTAATATACCTTTTATAGCCTGTTTATAGTAAAGTAGAAATGTTTTTTGAATATATGAATGTTGATCTGGTGTTTAGATCGTCTCGTTTTCAAAAAAATAAAACCTTTAATTATCAGTGAGTAGCTTCATGCAATTAATATATTCATATTTACATTTAATTTGTGCTTATTTATGCTTTTGCAAATCTTACTTTGCTTGTGCAAATACCTTTGCAATCATTTAGCTTTCATTAAAAAACACACTGTAAAATTGTAAGAGATGCCAAATCCTCAAGGAGCTTAAAAAACAGAGCTTTTTGAGTGAGGGTGATGAGAAATATCGATCATCTAACAACATTTTTTGTGAA